CTGCTACAAACGAATTATTATTTCATTATTTCACTTTCATTCCTGATTGAACAAAACAAATCAGAGTATTGTTTTGTCTCTCGTAGCTAGTGCACCTTTAGTAAATACTGTTAATTGTAGGTTATTATATTTTGTTCAAAACTAAAAGATACATATATCGATTAAAACACTGTCAACAATATATATGTTCTGTTCCTATTGCATTTACATACGACCTTAATAATTCAAACACGATTCTCTTTTTCAATAACAGACTCTCCTAAATTAGATACAGATAGGACAATCTACATTTTAAAATTCTTTATACAGGCCAAAAGTAGACTCTGTTACCCACCTGCATCCTAGTCTAAAATATGGTCAATCTCGTAATACATTATTGACAAATGTATTTTTGTGGATCCGGTTTGTCGATATAGTTTTCGGTCTAGATCCATCTTTTGAATGTAGTCTGAACATAGACATCATGAAATGTGAAAACAAAACATGGTTGTGCAAACAATAAGTGTATTTAAACATCCGTAAACTTTCATTGGCGTTTGTTCAAAACAGTCAAGGTTTTTAAAAAGCAAATTAAAAAAAAAAAGGAAAAAAAGGTACATACAGCAGTTTTTATTATCATTAAATTTATTAACTGCGACTTAAAACCGTGTCCAATCAAATTAAAGCATAGCTAAACAATTTTGCATATATATGGAGCGGTTGTGTTAATAACGCCACGTCCTGACCTGGCTTCCACTGCTGACAAAAAATGTAAGTATTAGATTCAATGTATTATAATTGTTGAAATTTCATTTTATTGTCTATGTTGTAATCAGTATACAATTGTATTAATGTTCGCCGACCTTGTGCTTATCATTTAAGCTAAACAAACTTAAATCTCATCTTTTATATATCATATATTTGATTTAGTGATCATAAACATTGACAGTTGCAGATGCGTATAAGCTTGAGATAGTATAAGAATACTTTGAAAATTAACGTCACGCGGGATCAGTAATTCAAACCTCACGTGGACTAAGTTAAAATAGGTTCACGTGAATATCATGTGATGCTCACGTGCATCTTAAGTGCAATTCGCATGATTTTTTCATATGAAGATTACCGGAATTGTTCCTAAAATAAATTTTAGCGTGAACCTCGCGGGAACTGAATTCTAATGAAATTAAAAATTTTCGCGAAAACATCTTTATTTCAAAATTGAGATAAAACCATGAAACTGTAAGAGAATGATCAATAGATATATCGAGAAAATTATTCTCATTTTACCATGTATTTCTTTGCGATTTTGTTTAACACTATTTGTTCTCAAATTGATATACTGTATAAAGTGTAAAGTGAATAAACGTATGAATTGAAATCCTTTTAAAGATTGTGTTCAGTATTTCATATTGCAAATTAATGCACAGTATTACCATGATTACATTAATATTCTTCCTATTTTCCACTGAGTTAAACCCATTACGTACATTTGAAACATTCTAGTACATGAACAAGTCAGGAATTCTAAAGTATTAATTATACACTTAACATAGATACCAGCATTAAAATTGTTTACATCAGAATATCGTTTTGTCAACAAAAGACTCACTCGTTACACTGAAATCAAAACTATTCAAAAGATTAAATGAAGGACGGAGTTGAAGGCGAAAAAAAGACTAACAATTTTGACAGATACAGTTAAGGTAATGTAATCCTAGATAGCACATCCTAAGTATTTCGAAAAATGTGAAGAAAGTTTTCGCATCCGTTAATTTACAGAAGTGACCATATCTATAATAAATCATGTCAACTGATAAATACTGACTACTGGGCTGGTAAGAAATATACGAATAATAAAAGTCTTAGGCTATTTTTACCAAACCTTACTAGTCGGCCATTAAAAATTTCAAAGTTAGTTATTCTTAATTTCGATGATATCATTTCTCTTTTTAGTTACCTGTAAAACATAAACCGTTATGAAGGTAGTACTAGTATTTGGACTATTTTTGGGAACAGTATTTTGTAAGTATTTCAAATAACAAAACCTCTTCACAAACGTGTTGAAACGAAATTGTCTACTACCAAAAATACAAATACATATTAATATATCACAAGATAAACCCTAGATGTTAATATTAAATTTGCATTTTGTTTCTACTTGTCATAGACTTTCATCATATATCTGTTTTAACCATTATGTTCTCATTTCTGTTGCCTCAGTATCACAATTCATTTCCATATGTTGTTTGCTTATGTAGGCATTCAAGTAAACGTGTTTTAACATCGAACAATTATATGTGTTGAAAACAATTGCTTCAACATATGTTTACGTATATTTATGAATTGTCAGTAATAATATGTTGAATACAAGTATGGGAAACTCCATACTAAAATTTACGACAAAAGAGACGATTCGTAATTCCCTATTGTTAATTTTCCTTTTTTTTTAGACGGCGATGTTCCTTTCACTCCATCATACGGTTTTTATATATTCATTATTATCGTATAGAACAAATAAGATTATACTTCTGTTTCCAATAGTAGACGGTGCTCGGTGTATTTTTACATATCAGTGTAGTGTCAAAGAAACTTTTAAGTCGAAGATCAGATTGAAAAACCGATTACCTTCTAACCAATAATATTAAAAAATGTGTATTTCAAATGTGTTGTTTTTGTTAAATTTTCTACCGGAAATTTTGAACGGATAGAAAAATTAAAGACCAATACGAAAAAAGACCTTAAATTCCGTAAAAAAATAAATTAAGTACGCCACTCCCAGATAATTCAGGCTACAATACAAAGATTCATACTTTTAACTTTGGTGTTGAACATTTCTACAAGAATAACAACAAAGAATAAACGACAATAAACAAATGTACAACAAATGTTAAAACCGGTCATTTTATGAATATATTCTTATGAGTTGAGTTTCAGCCTAATGTTGTCATAAATGTCAAAACGATAGCGTTCCCCTTTGCTGCCAGTGCCAAATATATGTCCGTTGAAATACCACGCACTGGTGACATCTTCAAGCAGGTATAACCTATTTAGCAGCCCTTTGTTAAATTTTGTGACATCGTCAGAGATGCGAACTTCTAACTTAAGTTTTCTATTTCGCAATATAGAGATTTTTTATTCCAAGCGCATAAATTTTACAAGAATTGGTCTAGGTTTGCCGTGTTTTCCTGGTATCCTGTATGCTGCTACAATTTCTGATGGTTAATTTTTACATCTAGTTTACTTATCTCATGAAAAAAGCTATGTGACAATATTTCCCCCTTTTTTTCTTAGAAGTCAAAAATTTTAATATTTTTTTCCTTGAGTATTGTTCATTCCAGTTTGACAATTGCATTGCTTCAGTTGCACGTCTACCCGTATTTTCAATATCTTCTTCTAAAAGTATGTTTTCTTTGTGACGGTTTGCGTTTTTTCTAAGATATTCGCATTGTCAAATTCTACACTGTCTATTCTTGCACTTTGCTTAGATACCTCTGACTTAAAGTGCTGTTCTACTTTTTCTTTATTATTTTGAATTTCAACCATCATTTCTTTTTTAAGTTCTTTTTTCATCTTTTTTTTTTCTTTTCATTTGGACAAGTAAGCTTGTAACTGTTTCAGTGACAACCATTTTAACATCTTCTTTTTTCAATATGCTTTTCATTGAATTTCTTATCTCATTTAATTTGGTTTCGATGCATAGACCATGGTCGCCATCGCTAGATAGACATTTATGCGGGCGTTTTGCAGATTTTGGTTTTACAAGTGTTTTTACATTTCTTAATTTTAACAACACAAGGCTTTTCGATATCAAAAACTTGTCAAAACATTTCCTGAATTCTATCATCCGTATAATGACATCATTCGTAAATATAAATCAACATGCAGGTTTATTATACGTTCAGGGGTTTCACATTCAATCTTTTCATGCTTTTATAGTAATATTATATACAAAGTACAACACATATCGTCATTTACCTCAAAATCTAACCAAAATTTTAAAACTACTTATTTAGAAGGAATATAGCTACGATGCTGTTGTCAGGTAATTACATATGGCATTTTAGGAATAGGGTCTTTGCATCGGGAATAAACACATTTATTTAAAAACAAAAGTTGTTAACATGATCCAGGTTACTTTCTTCTCGTTTATGTTATGATGGTATGATACTAAACTACTAACGGGAGGAATTATGAATTTGTGTTGTTGTTTATTTCACATTGGCGAGAAGTATAAGGGCAGGGTTGAGATCACACAAATCATGTTTTACCCCGCCGTATTCGTGCATTTGTCCCAATTCCGGAGCTTCTGACATTTGTTAGGTGTTTGGATCATTTAAATGATTCCGAGTTAAGTGTGACGTCCATTCTCACTGAACTAGAACACATTTTGTTAGGGGATATGATGAAGCCTGCCTCCTGGTGCAGGATTGTGTGACTTTGGGCTATTTTCTGCTGTTTGATCATTTTGGCACATTCCCGGTTTCATGCTCAATGTTATATTATCAGATTCAATGTTTACGTTTATAAATTTCTAAAAAGCAGCGCATAATGTTGTAAAACACAATGTAGACGATTTTATATGCAATCGATATTGTATTTTTCCAGGCTGTTCTGATGATCAGTATACGTGCGTGGACGGAGAATGCATCCCTTCAAGTTATCAGTGTGATTCCTGGGTTGATTGCAGTAGCGGAGAAGACGATATGGGATGTTCTAGTAATAACAGTTTAACCCTTTTTATTTAGAAACTAAAAACAAACATTCTTGCCTACTTTATAATGTAGAATGCATGTCGAGAGTCCTTACATTTTTTTACATCTATATAATTTCAAAAGCAATCTCTTAAAAATTAGATGAGTATCCAGGAAAGAAATTAATCGGAAAATCTCACCATTATATAATCACATGTTAAACCAGGAAGTATGCCTTGTATTCTTGAAGCTTAAATATCTTGCATGAACCATTGTGTTGCAGAAAATAAAAATGAAAACACATTTCATAAATTTTAATTACAGTTTGTCAAAGTGATCAATTTCTTTGCGCTACTGATTCCAAATGTATTATCTGGTCTTGGGTATGCGATGGGATGGATGACTGTGGTGATGGCTCAGACGAACGGGGGTGCTCCAATCTTTGTTGGAATATTTATAGTAAGTAAAAGTATTTTTAAAGAGCAAATGTTTTTAACCTTGACATGTTCAAGCAAAAGCCGTTTAGAATAATACATATCTTAAATGAGTTCTTCCAAATCTTGGCCTTCATTTTGAATAAAAAAAAGATGTTATATGATTGCGAATCTTTTCCAAAAAGATTAAATGACACAGAAATTAACAACTAAAGGTCATCATACCGCCTTAAGCAGTAAGCAAAGCCTATACCGCATAGCTACCTTTAAAAGCTCCGAAATTACAAATGTAAAACAATTCAAACGAGAATAATCATGGCCTAATTTATGTAAACATTAATGAACAAAGAACAAATATGTAACACAACAACAAATGACAACCCCTGAATGACAGGCTCATGACTTTGGAGAGAAACATTCATAGTGTGTGTGGGGGGGGGGGGGGGATTAAACATGTTAACTGGCGCGCCAGTGATGTAACAATACAAAATAAGAACGAACTATACAAATCAGTTGAATAAGGCTTAAATCATCAGACGGATACAGATAGAATTATATCTAACCGACGCACAGAGTGGACATGGTCGGGTACTTGTGCATCCCGAAAACAAAAAAGACACAGACCTGAGAGTGCTCGAGGTTACTGACAACTAGTTCAGAGGGTAATAAAGCAACTTATAAATAAAATTAAAGATTGAAGATAAGGACAAATCAAATATCCTTGTAATTAAAATACAATTTGAGAAAATCAACTTTAAATATAGAGACGATTTTATTATTGAACACACCTTGTTGTCTGTATTTTCTTAATATACTAGTAGTTACAAAAAGGTTGCGTGTACAATGTCAAACAATGTCATATTAACTGGCACACAAGTTTTATTTCGGATTTACGAATTTACATGCATATATTTCAGCACGATTTACCCTTTTGTTTAGTCAGCTATTAAAGGGTTCCTAATTGATTATTATATTCCTTATATAGACTTGATATGTGTGTTTTTGATACAATACTAATTCTTTAAAATGATAATACACACATAAAATGTATGTTTCATTCCTAAATGGGCCAAAAATTATAACAACTCGCCCTCCACATTGTCGAAAGCATCATACACTTTTGATTTCATAAAATTGTTCTTGCATTGACACAATATTGTACTTTTAATAACGTACAGACCCACTTGCAAGACGGAGTATAGTAAAATCGAGTGCTGACAAAGCTGTATCCAGGGGTCTTGACAAAGGAGGTAAAAATGAAGCTGCTGGTTCGAATTTGTACAAAAAGAAAAACGAAGTTGAAGCAGAGAAAATTGTTAATAAACTTGAAAAGCTCAGGTTACTCAGAAAAGGAAAACATGGAAAATAGAATTGAACATGTACGGAAGAAAATGCTCGCAAACAATTGGAATCGACCATGGACTATGATATAATTAAATATGTATAAACAATCATTAACAGTAGTATGCAATGTTATATTATCATGTATGTATATTTTGTAAAAACGAAATGTAACATTAATGTAATTTAAAGTTTTAATTGATTTAATATCTTCAAAAATTTTTAACAATAATTGGTCAATATCTATATTCGTATTTTACACTTTCATTATTCATTCTATTTTATTAATAAAATACTTCTTGCAATTGATTTTTTCTTATCGAATATGATTGATTGAAACATTTTAATTTAGAGCTTAATCTAGTGGTGCGGTACATGTATATCAAGGCTTTTTACCTGATAGTATTCGGACTTCTGTACTGGATATATCGGTTTTGTATTTTTTAGGTTTTTTTTATACACAATGCTTGAATGGTTATATCAACTCTTCAAAATTTGTATCACGTGTGTATTGTATAAATGTATCACCACAATAATCATTTAAGAGACAATCATGTCCTAACTACACATATAAAATATGCAGTAAAACCTGTAAAAGTTTATTTGTATTGTATTCCTGTCATGTAATGTTGTCATTTTAATGTTATATTTAACATTGCCATAAAAGAGGGAGGTTTGGCTAGCCACAAAACCAGGTTCAACCCACCATTTTTTCTTAAAATGTGCTGTACCAAGTCAGAAAAATGGCCATTGTTATACAGTGTTCCAGCTAGGTCGTTTTCACAGGGCGGTCCGCCCGCCCTTTCCCGAGTGCCGCCCTGTGCCCTTTTTTCAGTTTGCAGGGCGCCCTGCCTTTTTTGAAGATCGATTGGTATATTATTTTGTTCGTATTGATATGATCAGCCAATTACGAAAATTCACCTGGCGACAAGTATATGACTGTGTACGACCCCAAGCTAATCAACGGTTACAACAGGTGTCATAATCTGTTGTTATAGGTAATCCGTTTATCGGATGGGTCATTTAATGATCATCAACATTAATTCATTCAATTAATCGGTCAGTCGGCATTTGTCTTTGAACTTGAAGAAATGTTCATACAACTTGGGCACAATTAGCAATGTTTACCGTGGTTTCATGGAGAAAACGTAATTGACAGAAAGTCGAAAACCATAATCAACTCGTTAAAACATTGCTCTTATTGTTTTCCGTGAAATAAATAGCAAATTAAGACGTATTTTTCATTGACTGCCTTCATTTTTTATACGAAAATAACAAAATCGGCCGCCATGTTGTTGAACGTATTTACATCTTCTACGTACTGTTTATTATCCTCCAAAGAAGGAGCACACCCAAATAAAGAAAGATAACTCAATCTTACTTTTTCCTAGCATTGAGTAACCTACTAAGATATTATAAAATATGTCTTCATACTTCTGGCTTTAGAATTTATATGTTTAGGTGTTTTGAGTTATGGGAAAAGTTAAAGAGGGTCTTAGTAGCAGGGTTGGTAGGGTGCCTTTGTCATCTTTTTCTGTATTTTTTATTTTCAATCCAAATTTTCACTGTTCACTATATCCTAACATTGTGCATTTACAGTTGTTTTGTGCTGTATTGCCATTTAGCACAGAAAAGGTAGAAAGGTGAAACTTGTAAAGTTTGTCAGACCATAGAAACAGAATGAAGCAGAACATTTTTCAAAAAATACTGCATATAAAGCTTAACTGTGCCAAGCAATGATTTAAAACTTGTGTCACAAGCTGCTTGATAAGTTTTCAGCCTAAAAGTAGAAAGATAGTTTTTCTCTGGGCTAATGATGTTGTTCTTGTATATTTATAACCAGTGATTCAATGAACAAACAATGTTTGATTATAATCTTTATTAAAACATGCCCTTTTCATATTATCATATCACGCGTTAAATGCCCTTTTTCAGGATTGGCACCCTGCCCTTTTGAAGTCCTAGCTGGAACACTGTTATATTATAGTTTGTTTCTATGTGTGTTGCATTTTAGTGTTGTGTTTCTGTTGTGTCGTTCTCGTCTTATATTTGATGTGTTTTCCTCAGTATTAGTTTGTAACCCGGATTTTTTTTTTCCTCAATCGATTTATGAATTTCGAACAGCGATATACTACTGTTGCATTTATTTACAGATCTAACTTTGTTGGGCTAATGTTTAGACGAATTATATATATATATATATATGTGTAAGTCAAGAGATTTGCACAACGATACTAATATAAGATGGTATTATACGAAGATGTTGTTAATAAATCGTGTTGACAAATATTTTGGCTTAACAAATAGCCTTCTTCCTACAACATCTTCGTATAATACCATCTTATATTAGTATCGTTGTGCAAATCTCTAGACTTATATAATGTTTTCCTTATCTGCACAGTATCGTCTATTCTAGACGATCCGGTACATAGTAAATTTGCTGGTTGGTCCTTTTTATAGACCTCTATATATATATATGTATATACAACTCGTCTAAACATCAGCCCAACAATGTTAGATCTGTAAATTTGCTTTCGCAAATTTTTTGTTCTTCCCTCGCCAGGATTCGAACTCATGCGAATGTACACAGCCATGTATCACCATCACTGCTGTTGATCCGATGGATAAATCTGTTGTAGAGTTGTCACTTGTTCCGACGTACTTATAAATATAATTATTTCTGTGACTGTATCTTGCATTCATTTGTAGGATCCTTTACAATAGACATTTCAGCTGATCTGTAACAATTCCATCTTCATGCCTTATATATCATGTACTGTATTACGACGCTAGATTAAAACTGACGAGGAAAGGTAACACCCGGCCACCGAAAGCTATATTTTGTGAAGCCTAGGTGGTCGTGTGGTCTAGCGCGTCGGATACAGTGCAGGCGATTTGGTGTCACGATATCTCAGTAGCATGAGTTTGAATCCCGGCGAGGGAAGAACAAAAAATTTGCGAAAGCAAATTTACACATCTAGAATTGTTGGGTTGATGTTTAGACGAGTTGTATATACAGAATGTACACAACCATGTATCACCATCACTGCTGGTGATCCGATGGATAAATCTGTTGTAGAGTTGTCACTGGTTCAGACGTACTTATAAATATAATTATTTCTGTGACTGTATCTTGCATTTATTTGTAGGATCCTTTACAATAGATATCGTGTATGTACTAAATGCAATACTTTAATAGCAGATTTATTCCTGTATTGCTTTGAATATCAGTTAATGACCAAACTCAGTAAAGACATGTCATTGTTACACTTGGTTGATACATTCAACAGTACCTACCTTTGTCTTGATGATTATTTTCGTTAAATAATCCAGAGTTCGCTTAATTTACTATCGGAATTTACCCAAATGAAATTACAGTAGATAAATCTAACATAAACAGCAGTTGTTGTCTTTTTCTAGATTTAAACAACGCAAATTCAAAAAGGAAACTCCATACAAAAATTTACGACAACATAGACGAATTTTCATTCCTTATCGTATATTTTCCTCTTTTAGACAGTGGTGAATTTTTGGCTCCATCACAATGTATTTATAAATCCAAAATTCTTCTCTGACTGTCCATGACGTTAGAATACTAAATCCCTGAAATGTGTTTAAGATGATTTTAGTCTATGATGCATGTTTTTTTATTACTATTAATTGTGTTTGGCTTTTAACTAGCTTTCATTAACTTGGAGTATTCTCAAATCGTACTTTCGTGTTGATTTGAACTGTTTATACAGTTTGTATTGCCTGTTTGTTATTTTATGATTACGTATTTAGCTTAAATTGTCTTTTCTCTTTTTTTCAATATATACCAGTGTTTGGTATGAAAATAATTTTTCAATTCTATTTTTGTACTATGAACAAAACAAATATTTCCGTATTTCATTTCTCTATACCTTACAACTTTTTTTTCATTCACCTGTGTACATTTTTTACTTGTCTTTTTGATACCTTTAACATCTCACTATGTCTTTGATGGAGTTAAGCAATTTCAATTGATATTTTATAGTGTGTCTTTCTATGCTATGATGTGAACTTTTTTGGTTAAAAAAGTTCGGAAATTAAGGTTATCACATACCAAATATCGCTATCAGAGAAAGCAAAAAAAAATACAAATTTTTCACAATTCTAATATCTAAATCAGATCACAGCATTACCAGCTTTAAAACTGGTAAGTACACAGCATACTTAAAATAAACAACAATTGTTTGAAAATAATTTATTATAAAACAATTTTGTGTTCGTGAAAAATCGTTTCGAAATCAGTTCTGAAATGAAAACAAGTAAACGTTGTCTTCATTGAATTTTTTTTAAAGATGAAGCCGTTAACAATAATTAAAAATAATAATGCAGCATTTAAAGTAAATATCAGTTTATCAAGAACGTCCTTGAATGTGATAAAAAGACAACACTCTGACGGAAAGAGGGTGATGATATAAAATCAAGACATTTAAAAAAAAACCGAAAACTTAACATAATGAAAAAATGCACAAGAAAATATACATGAGTTGACTCATATATATACAGTGGTCTAGCGCGTCGGTCACAGTCTAATGCGATTTGCTGCCACGATATCTCAGTAGCATAAGTTCAAATCCCAGCGAGGGAAGATCAAAATATTTGCAAATTAACAGATAGAATATTGTTCGGCTGATATTTAGACGAGTTATAATATATATATAGCATTTGTCCAGACTAAAAAAAAAGATAAAAAAAAGAGGCGTAAGTAACTAAATTGGACTCTCAAACTCGCAAGTCGAAAATAAATTATCAATGCCATGGGTAAAAAAAAAAGAAAACAAATAGACAAAATATAATACACAAAACACAACATAGAAAACTAAAACATCAAGACCGCGATCAAAACATGGGGTGGTCTCATATTCTCCTGGTTTTATGGATTCTTTCTGAGAATCGAAATGGGAAATACAATATCTTGAAAATCGTATTAACTAAGAGATGTATATTCTGTATGCAGATGCTGCTTGAATGTTATAAGCGAAAAATGCATATTGGTAGTGGTACGTATGCAAATCCTTTAATTTATCTGCAAATATTGTATTTTAATACTTTCCTGTGGCTATGTGTAAAATAAATATCGAGTTTTTCCTCTTTTAAAGTTAAGGACTAAATTTTATTAGTTGTCAGTGACTGCGAGTACTCTCAGATCATTACTAAGTGTCTTTATGTAATTGGGATATACAAGTACCCGGTCACGTCTACTCTGTGTTTTTGTTAGATGTATTTCTATTTGTATCCATCTGATGAGTTAAGTCTTTTTCTACTGATTTTTATAGTTCGTT